AGGGCTATTCATACATGCAGACCCAGGGAAAAGCCTCGCTACTGAAAATCTACCTCCCTAAGCAGAGGGCAGGGAAAGACTAAAGAGAGGTTGGCTGCTCCAGTCCAGTAATCAATAGAGTTTATTAGAGAAACTTACATAAGAGACATGTCTTGGGTGGCTGCAGGACTAAATGGATCCTCGCTGAAAGGAGGGGATAGTCTTGGGTACATAAACGCTCCGGAAATTACATGCTTGACCAGGTCAGGACAACAATCTGTTCCAAGAACAGCTCATAGGAGGAGGCAAGGGAGGGGTGCTGATTTATGTCAGAACGAACATCAGTTATGATCAGACTGTCTTTAAGATGGGTTTGTAAAAAGCAACCTCTATTCTGGCCTGGGTCCAGCTTTTGGAACAAATAGCAGTCACATCACAGAACAGTCTTTCCTCCACAGGCTGGTCTCTGGTGCTGCAACTTCTGAGCCGAGCCCTCTCCTGCTGTGTCTCCTGGCTTCTTCTTGGAAATCCAGGGAGAGTGGCCCATGATCTCGAGGCATCAGCAGCTATGTCTTGGGCTTTGTGGTTGCTCTGATTCTGCCTGGTTTAGAATCAGATTCTTTCTAAAGACAGAAACCCAGAATCTCCTGTGGGCTGTGTATTTGGGGCACCTTCCTGAGTCCATGCAAAGTGAGTGTTACTGCCTCCATGTACAAATGGAGAAACTGAGGCTCAGAGGTAGGAAGGGCCCGGCCCAGGGTCACATAGCCTGGCAACTGGTGGGTGGCTCATCATGTGACTGAGCCGGCAGGGTATGACCTCAGACCTGGATTATGACTATAGGAAGCTTGGCCTGATTCTTTGGCAGGTGGAACCTGGCCCTCTGGAGGTGTCAAGGTGGTTTGGGAGGCATGCACTATGAGGAACTGGAGATCGAAGACAGTTCTTGTGTCTGGGCAGTCGGGTCCCAGGGGAGGCACCCTGTATTTTAAACGGGATACTAGCAAAGGAGGAAGTATTCCATGTTACATCCCGGAGACCCACCATCTGGGGACAGTGTTTTCACTGTTTCTGTGGGCTGTTTAGTAAGTGTTGTGAGGACGCAGGGCTTCAGGGTTGAACATGTTTGGGAGGCAGCAGAGTAAGCAAAGGGA